AGCATCTTAAACCATGGGCAGAAGGGTTAGTGTGGAAAACCTGTTTATTTTCAGGTGGGACAGATTATTTGCAAGACATTTCTTAGTAAAAAGTAAAGAAGGAAATTGCAATAGCATAGACTGTCAGGAAGAGAAGGTAAAATGGTGCTACACATTAATTTTCTGAATTCCCTCTATGAATGCAGTTATATATAGTCCTCAGTTAACAATGGTAATTGGGACCAGAATTTCCATCCCTAAGTGACATGATCATAAAACATGATGTCACATTTCTATGTAGTTTAGGGGCAGCAGTTCCAGCACATCCAGATTGCCATCATTAAGTGATAGCATGGTCATTAAGTGAGAACTTCATGAGGTCACCATTTGTGATCTCCTGCCGGCTTCTAAATTCTTTGCTTGTAAGAAGCTGGCAAAGAAGGTCTCAAGTTGTAACCATATGATTGTGGGACACTGTGATGTGAGCACTGAGTAGCCAAATCCCAATCACATAATTGGAGGACACTGTAACAGCTGAAACTTTTGAGGACCAGTCACAAACACCATCCATTCAGGGCCATGGCAAGTTTAAATGGTCACTGAATAAGTAGGTCACTGAATGATGAGGACCATCTGTAATTAAAGTTTCATGCCAAAAGCAGGTTTTTTTTAATTGTTATAAAACTGAGGGATATATTGTCAATTCAGGACAATATTGGCAGTCCAACATGTCACTGGAAAATAAATTGAAAACATGTGCACTGATACGGGCACACTCACAACTACTGCTGTGGTAAGTAGAGTTGTAAGGAAGGCAGACTCAGGATAGCAGGGCAGGTAGATGGAAACTGCAGTCATGATCTGCTTGCTATTTCTTTGCCACAAAGCATGAATGGAAATGAATGCTGTCTGGATCCTATCCTGCTATTTCACAGACTTCAAAGAAACAAAGGAGGTGCACATCTGGATACTGTCCATAAATTGTTTAGAAGGGCAGCAAGAATTCCTGGGCTGAGAAAAACACTGTAAAACACCACACCAATGAAACTTGTCAGAGAAGAGAATGGCACTCGCAAAAGACACAGGTTTATTATCACCCAAGGCACAAGATCACAAGTTTTCTGCCCACCCCTTTCTCGGTGAACCCTTCCAACAAACACCTACTTATAAAGATGTGGGTGACTGATAAAGACACAATTTGGTGCAGTAGTTAAGGCATTTGGCTGAAAATCAGGAAACACTGAGTTCTAGGACCACCTAAGGCACAAAGCCAGCTGGGTAACCTTGAACCAGCTATTCTCCCTCAACCCCAGGAAGCCAACAATGGCAAGCCACTTCTCTGTTGGAAGAGCATTAACTACTTTAATAAGGACAATGGAAGTACTCGCTGCTCATTAAAATGAAATAATGTGGCCAGACTCGAACTGTGTCCATCAGAGGTCAAATAAAAAGCTTTTAGTGGCATCATTTTGGCCTGTTAGATGGGTGAAAGATATAGAGGCCTTGGTGCCCTCTGAGTTTGGTTGTTTGCTTGCAGATGTTTTTTTACCCAAGTGGGTAACATCATCAGTGCTAGAAGAGAGTGGAGTTTGCTCTTTATTTATATAAAAGTCATGTGCCGTCAGCATTGGTGGGAGCGTTGTTTTCTTCTTGGTAGGCCCTTGATTGGTCTGTTGTTGCGTAGAAACAACAGAGAAAACTGTGAGGAATTGTCCAGGAGGCACCAGGTGTTAGCATTGACTTGAAGTGTGTGTGCGTGCACAAATGCACGCACGCATGCATGTGTATGTACACACACACACACACACACAGGTAACTAACCCAGAGAAGATGATCCAAGAAAACAACAATTTCTTGAAGGTTAAGTTTCTCCAAGCTCACTTTCAGCTATTTAGGATATTGTAGGTAAGATTTCCACACATTGCATCTCTCCATCAGGGGGCAGTGGAGCCTCATGGGAACTCCAGGTTGGGCAATTTCAGTTTTTCGGTCTTTGAGGTCTTGTCATGCTCTATATAAACAAGTTACGTTGGAGTGTTTAGGTTATAAATTACGTCCATGCAGGCTTGCCTTGAGAAGAATGTAAACACTGCACTGTGGTCGCAGCGTTCTCTGAAACTGACTTTATAATGTACAGCAGGCCTCCGAGAAGCCCATGAAGTGTTGTGCTTGAACGTAAATAGGGAGAATTTTTTTAAAAAAATGCACAAATTCTCTCCCTGTTTTATTGTTTGGAAATGCAAGATTGGGAGTACTCTTATTAAATAGTGAACTCCTGGGTGGTGGATTTTTTTTTCTTGTTAGGGCAAATTGCTCCATTTTTATTAAACACAAGAGAAGCCTGGATGAAATCAAAAGATGGGGGGAAGCTTGGAGAGTGCAGGGCAGGAAACTCACCCCAATTCAAGCCTAAACCTCTTTTATTCAATAATTTTGGATTTGAACACTCTCATCTGTGAATCTACTGATGGTTTATCTTTCTGTTGCAGATCAAGATTTCTCCTTTTTAAAAATCTAATCAATTAAGCACCAATTCCCATCAAGCAGCAGAACTTGTTTTAGCTTCCTGAAAAAGATTTGGCTGAAAGTCACATCTAGCCTCAATCACACCTGGTTGTGTGGATGTAATCTAAAAAACCCCTCCCTGCCCAAAGCCTGAGTTATTCCCAGGCCTGCTATGGAGGCCTGGGAATAAATTTCAATGGGTTCAATTTTCTGGAATGGGAATGAGGAGATTATGCGGAGAACAACTTGAATTATCTCCAGCCAGACTGATCTCAGTTGTGGCTCCAAACATCTTAGGGTATGCTAAGACCTTCGCATTCTTTTCCTTTCTCCTATGAAATTATCCTGCATTTGAATTTGAAGAGGAGCTTGGGCTACCGAAAGCAGTGGAACTTACTTTTAAATCCAGATCTGTTACATCAGAACTTGATGGTGTTGGAAGATCAGGCCAGCCAGTGTGTTCCAAGCTAGTCCTGGTGCCCTCCAGATGTATGGAGTTGAAGGCCCAGATTTCTTAGCAGTGGCAATCCTGGGCTGAAGATTCTGGGAATTGAAGTACCTGCATGGGATACCCAACTGGAAATGTATGCCTACCAGGAGGAGGTCAAGGTTGTTGATTACAATCAGGCAGGCCAGTTCAGTTTTAGTAATAAATCCTACGATTTTCAATACACTTCAGCTCCGGAGTGGCAGCACCCAATACATTCGTCCTGGCTGGCTCATACCAACTAAATTCAGCATGGGGGCATTTAAGGCCAAGCCCTGCCTGTTGTCTGCTTTCTAAATTGCTACAGGATTGAATTGGCTGAATAAGGGATACAGTAGTGGCAAATATCCGAATAAGTGACATAATAATATCATGTCACTTATTATTATAAAATTATTAATATTATAATAATATTCATATTATTATATTCATATTACTGAATAAGTGACACTGAGCTTGTCAATCAGAAAGGTCAGCAGTTCGGCGGGTTCAAATCCCTAGTACAGGTCTCCTGCGTGGGCAGGGGGTTGGACTAGATGTCCTCCAAGGTCCCTTATAACTCTGTTACTGTTAAGATAGGTATGGTCGTCCAATCTGCCTCAAGCTTTCACCAGTTGTTCTGGGAGCCATCAAAACTCAAATCTGTAAGGAAGTGCCGGGTGGGGGCCCCCGTTTCTGCTCCCATCAACATAGGCAGGCTCAGGGCTGTCCGCAGGGATGTTTAAAAAAAGTTAAGATGGCGGTGCCCATAAAAAGCTGAAGGAGCTTGCATCGCACTGTCGGTGATCGCCATTTTGTTTTTGTTTTTTCAAAGCTACGCCCAGAGGATATCCCGATAAGGCTAATTCCTAATTATTCCAGATGGACCTATAAATCCGGATTTTCGAATCTGGAACTCTTGGGCTACGATCCTCATCGCTTTGGGATTAAAGGAAATTGTAAACCAGCGTATTCTGGAGAGCGCCAGGTTGGGGGAAAGCGGCGATGTAGATCAATGCTGTAAATTGGACAAGGGGCTCGACTGGCTCGACTGGACTTGACTAACAAATGACCAGAAAGTGTTCTGGGCAGAATGGAGCGAGCTGAGTCGAGTTCTAATCGAGATAAGGGGTGTGTGTGTGTGATATTTGCTTTTCCACTTTAAGGTCCTTCTGCTCTTTTGGATTACCACTCCCATCATCCTTGGCCAAAACGCGCGAGTGTTCTGATGACGGCAGCTCTGGTCCAACTCTCTTGAAAGGTGCCTGTTGGGAAGATTACTCTGTCTCTTCTGGGGAGATTTTCTAATCCTCGGAAATAAATCTCCCCCCCCCCCAGGAAGAGACTACAATTTCGGAGCAATAATAGCCTTATCCGACCTGCTGCTCTCCAAAGATGCTAGGTCACCTCCCCCATCATCCCCAGCTAATCTAGAGGCGACGCCTTTGACGTTTGTGAAGCCACGATTTGCTCAGTTCTCAACAGGCATTGTGAATTCCACGTTCTCTCCCAGTTAAAGGTCCTGGGTATCCTGAATAAACTGTAAACTCAATAGAGAATCCGAGTATTTGCCCTGCCTGGTCTCGGATCTCCGCCTGAAGCTGGAAAGAAGAAGAAGAGATGGTCCCTGTGGCCGGAAGAAAGTCTCCTTCGCATTGAAACCTTCAAGAATCTCACCAGGCTCAAGGTTGACTTAGCCTTCCATCCTTTCTAAGGTAGGTAAAATGAGGACCCAGTTTGTGGGGGCAATAAGCTGACTTTGTATAAATATACAAAAGTATGAAGGCTATTGCTTAACGCACTGTAAGCTGCCCTGAGTCTCCGGAGAAAGGCGGCATATAAATCAAATTAAAAAAAAAAAAAAGCTTACCAGCCTTCCACCCAAAGTGAAGGCAGCCAAACCTGCGCAAAGCCGGCCTTTTCCCCCTTTGATCAAGGAAGGCAATGGCTTGCCCCACCATTCCTCCCGTTTTCTTTCAAGCATTAAACGTGAACCCTTCCTAATATAAAGGGGAGGCGTTTACAGGCCAAAGGGAAAGGAGAACTAAGCTTGTGTCACATACATTTTATTGGAGGGGGGGAGAAAATGCCCACCCCGAGAACTTTGTACATCACAAACTTCTGACAAACCAACAAACGTTATACATAAGTGCAAATTATACTCTCTGGTTGAAAAGCGATAGTGTGCGAGTATACACGAAATTTATTTCAATTCCTTTTTTCTCAAAACAAACAAAAAAAAAAAAAACAACCCCAACAAACAAAAACAAAACGTCAGCAAACTGTGATATAAACGCTGAAGGGGAAGGGGAAAAAAATTAGAAATAAACTAACCCCGAAGTGGTAACGTGTCAGTTATCTAAAAACAGACCAGTTAACCGGATTTGGAAATTGGGAGATGCCGGTGGAAATACTCGCGTCCCACCCCCCCATACCCGGCCAGAAATCAGTGGTGCTTCATCGTGCTGGTCGATGCCAACGGACTCCCTTAAGCGGCACACTGGAAAAATAAGGCATTTCATGCAAATCAAGAAAGAAAGAAAGAAGCCTTGACCAAAGCAACGGCCAAAGTTTTTCTGCACTAAAAATACTTTCGTTTTCGTTTCCCCCCCCCTCCCAACTGTGTACATCCTGTAAGACAAGAATGCCCGGCCTCTCTTCCTGAAATCTTCATACAGAGGAAAGGAACTTTTCAATGAAGACCCTGAAACACCAGAGACGCCTGCCAGCCATCGTTGGGCCGAATGAATTGTGCTGTAATGAAGGACTGTTTACAATCGCCTCGGCGATGGCTTGGCTGCGCTCGAAGTCCCCGGTGGCCGATGCCGCCGCTAGAAGTCGTTTCCATTCCTATTTGCCTTTCTCTAAACGCGGACGATTATCAGATAAACGGCCTCGGGTCCACGCGATGCTAATGAAACGGGAACGCGAAGGACTTCCTTTAGATTACAGACGAAGTCCAGCTCAATCCCTTTTGCTTTAAACATCATTTTTATTTTTATTTTATTTTTTTAAAAAAGGGGGGGTTGTTGTGTAGTGAAAAGAGGGCGACCTCCACACCAACGTGCCTGCTTGCTTGTCCCAAAAAAATGTTAACAAGTTGATCCCCAGATTTACTCATCTTTAGACTCAATCCACGAAATTATAAAAGGGGGGCTTCCATCTATCGATTTCAGAAGGCTTGGGTCAAGTCCGAATCCAACCTTTTTTAATGTTGCTTTTAAATAAAACTCGTAGATATAAAATTAAACGAAACAGGAGACACGGTGTGCTCCGTTTTTTTTTTGAAAACGCGGGCTAGCAAAAGAAAGAACAGGGCAGCCTTGGTTATTATGGACCTGCAGAAATCACCACCGCACAAGCCAGCCTCCTTCACGCACGGAACCCTCTCTGGAGGGCTGAACTACAACTCCCATCATCTTATAAAATAAAAGAGGATGGGAATCGTGACCTAACTTCTCCGGAGGACCTCGGGAGGAGGAAGGCTGCGCGGCCCAAAGGAGGCTCAGGGAGTCCGCAGCCCGATCCTAAGCGGGCATTCCCTTCCTTGGGAGAGAGCATCTCGGAGTTCCTTCGGGCTGGGTGTCTTAACTATAACCGCGTACTCGGAATTCGGCGCCCATCATCCCCCTCAGGCTGACTGCGAGGAGGAAGCCAGAAGGGAACGGTAGCCCTCCCTCCCTCCCTCCGGTGCATTGCAATTGTGAACGTGTCCCTGGTAATGCAGCGATCCTGTACAGGGTTGGTCCCTCCTGGGAGAGGGCACAGAGGGGTTCGCTGAGGAGGGGATGCCCCCTCCCATGTCTTTCCTCTTCTTGCAAGGCATCAGTCCGGCGGATGAGAGCGGGGCTTCACTTCAAAGGACCAGGAAAGGATCAGGGCAAACGGCCCGGCTGGAACGAAGCTTTTGATTTCGAGCGCGGAGGATCGCGCTGCGCGAGGTCACCAAGAAAAACGTGCTTGTCTCTGCTCTGGCTTCCTCGTGTAGGGAGCCGTGGGCCGTGGGAGTTCTTCCGAGCCCTTCCCTGGCCCTGCTGGATTTTGGAGCGCCTCTGCAGCCTCCCACCGTCCTTCACTTGCGCCCGGCCGCCTGCCGGCTCCTTCCGCTCGGCTTAGGAGTCCGCGTTTACATCACACAGGGCTTGATGTCCTGGCAGACGGTTTGGTGGTGGTGGTGATGGTGGTGGTAATAAGAGCTGCTGGCCGATGGGTGGAAGGACGAGATGCCGTTGAAATTGAGGACGAAATCCTTCCGGTCGCACACCGGGCTGGGGTGGTGCTGGTACCGAGGCAGGCCCACTGCGGAGAGAGAAAGAGAGAGAAGGTCAGTCCAAGGAAAGCTCTGGGGACGGAGTGGGTGACGGGTGGGTGGGAAGCAGGGAAAATGGGGACAGTTGTCCTGGTGTAAAATGGAGAGATGGGAACCCATAGGTAAAGGAAAGGCGATTTCCCCCTCTCCTCCCTCCAGGTTTTCACTTTTGGAGAAGGAGTCCAGGAGGAGTCCAAGGGCCCCTCAGTGCTCTGTGTTGGTCCATGTCCCCCACTAAGTAAAACAACAACAATAATCCTACATTCAGAACTGTATTGGGATCTGAACCAAATCTTTGCCGTTTCCTCCTTTGCTCCTGAACTTCTAATCCCAGAAAGTTCGCATTTGTAATTGTAACAAAACTCTTCCAGCTTGAATGGAGGGGGCGGGGGGGTGCAGGGTAGTGCCACTAATCACACCCTCAAAAAGTACTGGGGGAGCAACCTTTTCTGATTCCCCTCTAATCGATTTGCGTGTCTGTCTGTGTGTGCTTCTTTGAATCAGTGTTTAATCAGGGTTGACTCTTGGCACCTGCCTGGACAAATCCTTGCAGTTTTCTTGGCAAGATTTTGGCAGTGGTTTGCCATTGCTTACTTCTTACGGCAGAGAGTGAGTGACTGGCCCGAGGTGGTCCAGCTGGCTTTGTGCCCATCTCCCAGTTCTAGGTCAATGCCTGGATAGCTTAACAAACTGGCCATCCCTCTTACCAATAGACCTGTTCATTTTGTATTAGACTCCTGCCTTCTTTCTGGAGACTGCATACATAGCACTCCTTCCTTCCTTCAGGGTTTTAAGATATAAAAGGGTGGGGTTTTTTTGGTACAACAGCCTTGTGAGATAGGCTGGGCTAAATGAAAGTGACTGGCCCAAAATCACCCACTGTTCCTTCTGTGCCCAAGGTGGAGTTGAACCAGAGATTCCCCACTCATTCTTCAACACCTCTTTCGCCTCTGCATCTTCCCTGCTATCTTCCCTGCATCAACCCCTCACTGGTACTGTTTAGACGGAAAGGATTTTGATAGGGGGGCAAAAGCTGAGTCCTGAAGTGAATGGAACATTTCTCTTAGCCTTGGCATGGCTGGGCTCGCTGGCTGGCCTGCTCTTCATTACAGTGAAGAGGTCACCAATCAAAAATGTAACCCAACACCTCCAATTTCTTGAATTCCCCCCCCCCCTCAGGTCTCCATTTAGCCTTAAGCAGGCTGGCTGGGAGGAGAGTCAAACCAATCAAAGGCCCAATCAATCAACCAATCAGTCAGAGGCATTTGGACTCTGTTTTAATTAAAATAAAATTAAAATCAACTTCATCAAAAGGCGGTGGGCTAAACATCCCTTTGTTTTTGTTAGTCTCATCACCGGCAAAATCTTCCATGTTTGCAGCTCAAGGTAAAAATAATGAGAGAAATTGAGACCAAACTCCCCCCCCCTCCTTATTTACTAGTTAGCCACTCTAAATTTCACACTGGGAGAGAGGAGGGAGTGGGCTACAAACATACTGTAGTAAGTAATAGTATTTGAGAGGAGCACCATCAATGCTTAGGCAGACAATGCTGGTTAGAAGACACAATAGGATGGAGAAGATAAAATGTTTCCATGCTCCACTCCTTCACTCCCCTTCCTTATTTCCTTACAATCCCATAGGCTTTGGAACTGAAGTTAAACCATCCATGCAGAAGGTTTTAAAAAGTGCCCAAACTCAAGAAGAACCATGAAACCTGCAAAAGGGAATCTGAACTTGAGTTGGATCCCTGATTTCCTTGGGGCAGCTCACCATCTGTTTATTCCTAAGAAAGCAATGTGCTTCTTGCTCTGACCTCTTGTGGAAGGAGGCTTCAAGGTTTCTGGAAGAGGTTGTTTTCTTCCTACAGCTGAGATGGAGTGCCTGGCCCAAAATCACCCAGCTGGCTTTCATGTCAGACAGGACTAGAACTCAATTTCTCTTAGCATCTAGTCCAACGCCTTTAACCATTACAATACATGACCAGGCCTTGTTATCTTGGGAATCCATTCCTGAATCATAATTCATGTCTAAATAGATGGCTTGGAATGATCAAACAAGTTCCAATTCCTCTGGGGGGCACCCAGTTGGAGAAGGCCCTGCTGAAAGAGCTTTACCTAGTCTTGTTTACACAGGTCAACCCCCTTGAGTTCAAGTGGGGGAACCCAAGGTAAATTTATATAGGCATTCGATTTCATTCAAATGTTTAAAAAAAGGCCGAGGGCATGACAGTTATAGTAGTTCTACATTCATATACCTGGCAAATGGAAAAAGTAGGAGATGCTTTAATAGCTGGGCTGCAACTGGGTGGAATCCTGCTTGCACCCATTCCCTGAATGACTTGGAGCACAAAAGACGAGTCTGGCTGCTCAAATATCTCCTGGTTCCAGCTGGCTAATTTTAGAGCTCGGACTTCATCCAAAGGAAGTTCCAAGGAAGTTCAGCTGCATACAAACTTCCAGTCCAAATGCAAATCTATGTGCCTTTCCCTTCAAAGTGTGACCTTGTTTCTTATTTCCCACTTGGCCCTTCTAGGTCTGCTTGGCCTGTTTGCAGCCCCAAGCCAATGTTAAGCTTTCTGTTGGAAATCTACCAGCTTTAACAATAAAGGATGCTTCCTTCCTTGGTTGAAGACGGTGCCCACACTTCCCTACTCTTTCTCCTCAAATCACCCAACACAGATGTTTACACGGGCTTCAGAGCCACAGGTCAATCCTATTAATGTCTATTCAGAAGTAAGTCTTATAATGGTGACATCAGAGAAAGGAATGCAATTTAAATGAACTGTTTCTTTTTCGCCTGATTTTTTTCACTTAGGTACACATGTGCACACACAGGTACCCACAAAGCTGGGTGTGGTGTTTTGTTTCTATGTAGCAATATAGTTTAAAGTTTAAATTGCAATCAAATCAGTTAAGACTCAGATCCTAAAAGAGCAAGATGTTGAAGGGATGCCCTATTTCTTCACCAAAGCTCAATTTTGGTCATTTCAAAGTTTTTTTTTTTCTCCTCTCGAGATTGGGAGAAAGACAGAATTAGATACTTTAACTTTGGCCTGCAGGAATGGTGAGTGTATTCCATGAAGGACCTGGAAGTTATTTATTTCTTTATGGCCTCCATATCCACTTTTTGGCTGGTCCTAAAGCAAGTGGCAACAAGAAAGGAATAAAAACCAACCAAACAGCCCAAAATGAAAACAAAACTTGGACACCAAGCAGCAGAATTCCTATCAATCATTAAGTCACCATTTGGAAGAAAAGTGCAGGATTCAAAGCGGGTTTTCAAGAAACGATCCCATTTCCTTTTAGGGAGATTATTTCAGGTCTAAAGGCCTTATTATAAAAGTAAATAAATCTCTCGTGCATTCAGTTAATCTCTCCTCCTCTCCCCTCAAATCCTGATTTCAAGATAGGCTCCAGTTACCACTTGTGTTAATGGTATTAACAGCACCAGGATTTTTACACGGAGGCTTCCCTGTTTACAACCAGAGCCTCTCGTTTTCGAGGCAGGGTATTCGAGGTCAGTGGAGCTTGGGTGGATTTCCTTCAAGTAACACTTTGCTAGCATGGGATCTCTTGTGTCCAGAGATCAACTCCAAACAGCCAAGCAGAAGACTTGGAAAAAGTAAACACTGAGGCACAAACAAGCCCTTCTTCCTGATTTTAGCCCTGGGCGTTTGCAGTGTAGATTTCCTTACAGTGAATTTAAGGACCTGCTTGTTCTGCTAAAGGGGCTCATCCACAGGAACCTCTTCTTGAATCCCGCAGAGAATCATTGGTTTCCATGGGCTTTTTTTCTTCTCCCCGCACCCCCCCGCACCCCCCCCGGACAGAGACCTGGCAAATGTTCCAAAGATCCCAAAAGCTCCGTGGTGGGGCCGTCTTGCACTTTTTAACCTGTTTTAGTGGAGTCAAAAGGCGACCAGCCTCCCCCCCCCCCAAAAAAGGCAAAGGATGTATTTTGCTCGTTAGGTTGCCTTTTTTCCATTTGAGGGTGAAATTCGGCCTTAGTACGAAGGAAGGATATTTTAGCTGGCCAGGCACGTGAATTTCTAGGACATCTTCCAGGCTCTTCTCTAACCAACGGTGTGGTTGGGCATCTGAGCTCCTGGGGACTGGAAAGCACCCTCGACTCTTCCTAATGAGCTAAGGTTTACCAGTAGAAAGGGCCGGAAATGATTTCAACTGAATGGGCTAGAGAGGATCAGATACGTCCTAAGGAAGTAAATCGAGTTTCTGAGAGCTTGAATAGGTCCATCCATCCATCCATCCATCCATCCATCCATCCCTATTGTTTGCTGGCCAATCAATACGGGAAGGCCGGAGTTTTGCCCTTATCTTTTCCTTCCAGACATAAAGAGGTTAGAAGAGTCAACTATCATTCTCTCTTTCCTCCAATTAGCTGTGGCTCTCCCAGTGCCAGCGGCTTCAGCTGAGATTTTGCAGCGTTTCGAGAAGGCAATTGATGCTTTCCCCCTCAAAAAAACCCAAACAAAAAACCCCGTCCCCATTGTTCCCAACCCACGTCCAGCGACAAGTTGGGGTCAATTTAGTGATTGAAAATGTTCCTCTCTTCCGCCTCTTCTATATGGTCCAGTTTGGGTCCTTTTTGCTCAGGTCCTTTGCTTTTCGCCAGCCGTTCTAGGCTCCCAAGGAGGCCGGTAAAGTTTTATTTGCAACTCTGATTCAAACAGTTGGGCTTGGATGAAGGGTGTGCCAAAACCAAACCAAACCACGCCCGACTCTCCCTTTCTTTCTTTCTTTCTTTCTTTCTTTCTTTCTTTCTTTCTTTCTTCCTTCCTTCCTTCCTTCCTTCCTTCCTTCCTTCCTTCCTTCCTTCTTTTCCCTTCTAAAAGCCTCCAGAAGAAAAAAAAACGAGATCTCTGCTTCCAATCTTGTTCGGCCTTTCCCCAGGGGCTAACCAGAGAAGGTGGAGGTGTTACCAATTCGATCGCGCTAAAGAGTGGATGGTTTGCTAAAGCTTGAGCGGGCCGGTTTTTTTTAAAAAAAAATCAATTGGGAGAGAAAAGAGAGGCGGTTTTCCCCCAGCCTAGAAAATGACCCACTCGGCTGTAGATCTCGAAATCTTCTAGCAAGGGTTTGTGGTTGGATGGAGACATCTCCTGTGCGAATTTTCGAGACACCCCCTCCCCCTGAACTGCTCATTTCAATCCCAAACCCAAGACTTTGGAAACTGGGTGGCGAGGGACTTCTCTTGCCTTCTCCAGGGCAGTAGGCCTTGAGGCTTGGCCATAGTGCCTTCCCTTGCAAACGCGTGGTGTTTACCAAGAGGGAACTGGTTCTCCTCTGCAGATCTCCTCGCTTTGGACCCTTCGGACGTGTCCTTTCACCTATGGCTTTGCATAGCCCTGTCAGCTCCAAACTCCCAAATCCTGCCCTCGCTTTCAAAGACTCCAGTTTATTGGCTCAATGTTGATTTACATAGGACTTCTTCTCTTAGTAGCCCTCCAGGAGATTCCACTACGGAATATTGAACGCCGCCGCCGCCTTCAAGAAAAACCAAGGAAAAACCCACTTGCTTTTTTGAAAGCACCTTTGGGACACCGTGAGGTTTAGGTTTCCAGCCGACAAGAACCACAAGGTTGTGGTTGCCAGCTGTGAAAGAATGATCTTTTGCTTTCTAATTATATTTAGGTATTAGTTGTCTTTAAAAAAAAGCCAGCTAGGATAATTAAAAGATCACTTCGTCTGAGAATTTAACTTCCTCTGAGAAGTTAAAAAGTTATCCGAATTCGGACAGAGGGGTGGGAAGATCTTCACATCCGATCTGTTTACACACAAATAAAGTTCAGGATTCACACCCCAGGTTAAGCAAGATAGATTTCCTCCTTTAAATACGCACACACGCGCATGCATACACACAAATATATGTTTAAAAAATCGGAAATAGGAAGCTCTGGGTCCGTGGCTTCTTCAGGGACGGAAACAGGGTTTATTTGGGAGGGTCTAAGTGATCTCAAGGAACCCCCTTCTAAGTATCTCTTGAGCGATCGTACTTCACGAAACAGCTTTTTCTTAAGCTTGTGAGCTAAGGCTCCATTTCTCGGAGAGCAAACGTCATGAAGGCCTTGGCGGTCACCTCTGAGTAAATACTGAAAATTTACCCTCTCTTTTACCACCTAAGGAACCCAAAGAATAAGCAGCAATTCAGCCTGTGTAGAAGCCATCAAAAATGCGAAGGGTTATCCGGGCTTGAGGCCGGCTACGGCGTTGGTTAAACCAAGTTGGGGCTCGGACTACAACTCCGTTTTAAGGAGAGATGTGTAGTCAGGAATTGGTGGGATTATTCTAATTGCAGCCTTTTAACGTCGAAGAAAAAGAGGAGAGATTAGAGATTTTGGTACGGTGGAACTGCATTTTACTGAGGAGTTGTATTTGACCTACAATTCGGATAGGGGCATTTTGTTTGTCTACTCATTAAGGTCAACAACCGAAATTATATTTAGATCTCCAGAATCGAGGTATTAGGAACTGGACGGAAAGAGGCAAAAAGAAAAACAAAAAGGAATGTTTTTCAGGTTCCTGTCTTAAAACCCCATTTCAATTCTTCCCTGTTATTGGCGTTGTTTTTAATAATAATGATGTTATTAGATCACTTTTAAGAAAGATCTTCCAGGGGACGATCCTTTTCAAATCCCCGGTTAAAAACCCAACGCGCTGAGATGGAGAGGCAGTTGCGGGAAGGTTTCTGCAGCTGATTGACAGCAGGTCACCGAGGAGAGAAACCCAAGCAGCGGACAAGGTCGTCTGTATTTGTTACTTGTTGAAATTCCCATAAAATTGAACAAGACCTCACTCTCATCTGGGTTAAGTCAAGCTCCAGTCCCCTTCGGTGTGGTCCAGGGCAGACTGTCTTTGTTTTGTTAACCTCTGAGACCCACGTTTAAAAAGGTTATTTGGAGAACCCATCTCCTCCTCCTCCTCCTGCCCCCTCCTCCTTCCTTCCCAATCCAGCTCAACATCTTTTACCCATTTCGGAGCCTTATTTTCTCCAGTCTCTCTCTCTCTCTTTCTCTCTCCCACAGATTTTTCAAAGCTTTTTTTTTTTTTTAAAAAGCAACATATCGCCCCTCTCAGTTCCTTCCAGTTATAGAAATAACCTGAGCATCTTCTTTTTTTTTTTCTTTTTTTCTTTTGCATTTTGGAAGAAAATGCACAAAGCTCGGCTCCTTCTCCCATACCATCTGTAGAATGCGTTGCAATGACCCCCCCCCTATTTTTTTCAATTAGCCCGGTACAACACTGAGTATTTTTTTTTTTTTTTTAAATAAACATACAAAAGTTCCTTTAGAGATTTAAGCGTTTTCTTCCTCTGGGGAAGAGAGAAAGGGTTGAACCAAGCAAAATCCCACACCCCACCAACCCGGGGAAAATATACTAAAGCTGAGCATTATCTACAGGAACACACAGCCTGGGAGTGTGTAAGGAAGGCTTTTGGTGATTTCAGCGGGGACAGAAACCACGCAACCCTAACCGTTCTTTGCTGGGATGTTACCGATTCCCCAAGAGTTTAAAAGGCCTACTGCGAAGACGTGCGCAGGATGGCAAAGTTAAACAACAACTCAAACGTAACAGCACTCCAAGGGACCGACTCATAAGGCCTGGGACTGAATCCTTCTTGATTTATTAACTCCCGGCGTCTGTATCTTTCTCTCCCTCCGAGTGTGCATTCCTCCTCCTTTCTTTCTTTCTTTCTTTCTTTCTTTCTTTCTTTCTTTCTTTCTTTCTTTCTTTCTTTCTTTCTTCTTTCCTTTCCTTTCCTTTCCTTTTCCTTCCTTCCTTCCTTCCTTCCTTCCTTCCTTCCTTCCTTCCTTCTTTCTGCCTCTTTATCCTTAAGGGGATCTCGCGGCCCGTTCTCCTACCCAGGTTTACTGGGAAGAAAACAGCTTCGAATGAGAAGTCATCGGACCGCATTCAGTTTCTTTCGGTGTGTGTGTTTGCTTTGAAACACCCCGTTTAAATTTTACGTCGGCCATTCAGCCTTGCCCGAAGACGAGACTGGAGAGCCTTGGCACCGTCCCCGGGGAAGGCTAAGAAAAACACCAGGTGCTCCGAACGGCAGCCTTAGAGTTGTACAAATTGCTGGCGCCTTTTCCCTCTGGGTTCTTGAGAGGGTATGTGTGTGCCAGGAACAGTGAGGAGAACTGCATCTAATAAACATTTAATTCTGGATCTTGAGTGTAGAGAAGCTCCTGGAGGCGACCGGCCTCCTTGTCGTCCAAGGGTGGTTGGTGAACTAAGATTTGGATGGAGGGTGTAAGGAGGTAACTAAGAACGGAATTCGAGTCCGATCTTGAAAATACCAAGATGTCTCGAGGCTAGACTGCAGATGTGTTATTCTCTCCTTAACCCAGTTCTACTCTTCTCCCCACTCCGCCCCATCCCGCACCAATCGGCCCATTCCTCTCGCCCCATCCCCCTAGAAAGCCTTTTGCTTTCTTACACCAAAGCTGGTGTTTTCTCTGAAAACATCTGTAGTGGAGAAGGACCTTCTCGGCTTGTTATCTGACAGCTACAAGTTAACTTGAGCGGGGCGGAGGGATTTGGTCTCTCTTCCCCACTTCAACACTCAGGAGAAATTTTGTGATTTGGATTTTTTTTTTTTGGTTTAAATCTACCCTAAATTTCACTTCGAGGTGTGAGAAACAATGTAATTCCCCTTGAAAACACACACACACACAGCTCAATCAGGTCGATTGCTTGTACACAGTATAAATAATCTCGATCAAATACTACACGGCAGCATATACAAATCCAAAGTTCCTCTCCAACCTCCCGATCTGGCTGCGATTCTGAGCACCGGTAAATTTGCTTAGGATGGCCGCCAGATAATCTCAGATTTCTCCCTCTCCCGCCTCCCCACCCCGCGCCAGGACTCGCTTTTAGAAGCGATTCGGTTCCTTCTCTCTATCCCCTTCAAGAATGCGTTTCTCCAATTTATACACGTGAGTAAAAAAAAAAAAAGAACACAATACCCACGACTGCCTAATTTTACATCTTCTAACTTAAAGCAGCTCCTATTGAAGTGGCAGCCAAATTAAGTATTCAGAGAATCTCCTGCAAAGAACAGATTACGGGTTTATGGACTTCCAACTCGGTGTTTCTCAACAGGCTTGGACCATCTATAAACTGATTAGGTGGCCATGAAAGTACCAAAGGAGAGGGATTTGCAAACGGGATTGCGGTCCCTGCAAGTAGGAGCAGGGAATGGAAGGGGAGGGCTGTCCTTCTGGGCTCCAGAGGGTGAGACTGATCCCGCGGGGCTGTTCCCATTGCTTAGGGGGCAAGGCAATATTGACTCGCGGATAAATTGTTCCACTGAGTCCTTTCGATTTAGCCTCGGGGCTTCAAAGTATGTGCGTGCCTAGGATTTTGATTTCTGCCCTCCCCCCCGAGACCCGAATCTGGCTGTGGAAAAACCTTCGGGGCGTATTTTCTTTCCAGATCCCCAGGAAAGAGGCCTCAGCCTTTGAAAACGAAGCAACTCGCTTCGGGGCAAGAGGGAAAGGGGAAAGGAGGGAGGGAAGGACCGGACGGTACCTGAGAGGTCTTCCCTGCCGTTTTGGTGCAGGTAGCTCTGCTCCAGCGAATAGGAGGCCATTCCCGAGTGGAGGCCCGCAGGGGCGGCGGCGGTAGGCGGCGGCGGCGGCGGCTGCAGGGCCTGCTGCTTGAGATAGGGCGAGGCCGCCGAGGCAGTCCAGTGTCCGGCAGGGCTGCCGTAGGGCGAGTGGCACTCGATGGCGCTGGCCATGGCAGGCGAGGAAGGCACCGGGCTGCTGCTGCTATCCGGCCCGTAATCTGGACCGTTGGACGGGACCGGGCAACTGGCCATGTACGTGGAGCCCGGGTTAGGCGACATGTGCGGGACATGATGGGCCTCGTAGGCAGCGCCAGCCTGCATCACGTCCAGGGGGTTGTAGCTGCTGGGGTGGCAGCCCAGAGGCGCGGCCGGGGGCGCCTGGAAGTCGAAGCCCTGCGGGAGGAAGCTCAGCCCGTTGACCATGCGGTGGTACATGGTGGGCTTGAGCGCCTGGCATTTCCTTCGGAAGCCCCGCGGGCGCCGTCGGAAGGAGCCTTCCTCGAACATGAACTCGCTGGCCGGGTCGATGGTCCAGTAGTGGCCCTTGCCCGGCCGGCCCAGCCCTTTGGGGAGCTTGATGAAACACTCGTTGAGCGAGAGGTTGTGCCGCACCGAGTTCTTCCAGCCTTGGTAGGCGCCGCGGAAGAAAGGGAAGCGGGCCTGCAGGAACTGGTAGATCTCGCTCAGCGTCAGCCGCTTGGAAGGCGAGCTCTGGATGGCCATCACGATCAGCGCGATGTACGAGTAAGGCGGCTTCTCCGGCCGTCGCAGCCCCGAGCTGGCCTTCTTGGGTTTGGAGGGCGCGGAGGAGGAAGCGGCGCCGCCGCCGCCGCCGCCTCCGCCGGGGGTTGTAGAGGTGCTGCTGCCGGTGCTGGACGTCTCCAGGGCGGAGGGAGGCAGCGGAGGCGGCGGCTGGTTCATCAAGGCCGGGCTGCGAGGCACCGGGCCCCCGATCTCGGAGCTCATGGAGGCTGCTCCTCCTGGGCCACCTCCTCAGCGGTCTGGCAGCGGCGCCCTGAACATCTCTGCCTCCTCCCTTGCGCAAGCTTTTCACCCGCTCCCGGTCTCGCTCGCTCTTTCACACAAGCACAGCGCCCCTTCCCTAACTCCCTCCCTCCCTCCCTCCCTCCTTCCTCTCCCTCTCCCGTCTGGCCCCCTCCTTCTCTTTCTCCACCACCACCGCCTCCTCCTCCTCCTCCTCCTCCTCCTCCTCCTCCTCCTCCTCCTCCTCCTCCTCCTCCTCCGGCTCAGGAGCCTTCAGTTCTCCCGGGCTCCGCTCTCTGCCCCCTGCCTGGTGGCCTCCTGAAGCCTTTAAAGAAGAGGAAATCCATCAAACCGCTGCGCCGCTTTTGCGTTAAAGGCAGCGCAGCCAAACAAAATCTGCGGCGGTCTATCGCCTGGAGAGGAGTGACGGGGGGGGGGGAGATAGAGGGGATGCGCCGAAGGAAAGGAGAGGGAGGGAAATCCCTTCTCCTTCACCCCCTCCCTTTCCTCCCCTTCTACTCCTGCTCCGCTGAATTTATCCCACAACTCAGGCCCGAAGGGAAGCGGAGAGGAGAGGCGAGGAGGAGGGAGGGCGGGCGGTCTCCGTTCCACTCCAGCTGGCTTCTGTCCACCCCCGCCTCCGGGCCTGCGGGCTCCCCGCGGAGGCTCCAGATCCCTCTGGCTGCCATCTTCTCTACACGCAATTATGCCATCCATCAACCTGCCCTTTAGACAGTTGCCGAGTCTCCCAGCCGCACGCCAAGCATCAGGCTCCCAAGGTAAGGCGTTTTGCCATCGCCTTTCCTTTCCCTTCGCTTTGGCACGAGGAGGGCCAGCATTTTGCCTTGCCCGAAGGACCGCTGGAGGAATTGACTCGTTTGGCTTGGAGACTCCCAGGGGCTGAATTTCGCTTTCCCAAGCGGAAAGATTTTGTGCTCCTTTGGAGAATGTCACCACTCCGGTGACCAGCGCCTTTTCAGAGGGCAGGAACATACACAGTCTAAACTGGAGCGGAAGCACCGGCAATCGGGGGGGGGGGCTTCTTCTCACTCTTTCACCTTTTGCAAACCCCCCCCCCCCAAAACCTCACGCTTCTGGACTAGGTGCAGCGTTAGCCCACTTCAGAAGCCAAATGGCAGTGTTCCCGCTTAACTTTCAGCCAAGGGGCAGATTGGCAGATGTGTATTTATTTATTTATTTATTGGTTCGATTTGTATGCCGCCCTTCTCCGGAGACTCGGGGCGGTTACAATGCATTAAGCAATAGCCTTCATACTTTTGTATATATCTGCTTAGTAGGGCTTTCGCCCCCCCCCCCAGGTGGTGTTCTTTTTTATACAAAGTCATCTTATTGCCCCCACAATCCGGGTCCTCATTTTACCTACCTCAAAAGGATGGAAGGCTGAGTCAACCTTGAGCCTGGTGATATTTGAACTTGCAGTAATTGCAGGCAGCTGGTGCTACTTAACAGCACTTTAGTCTGCTGCGCCACCAAGGCTCCTTGGTAGCCCCCCTTGCTGAAGTGCTGGTGTCTCCTAGGCAGAAATCAACCTGGAAAAGCTTTCACCTGGGGCACAAGCGGCCTCGGGTCTGAGGGTCCACCTATTCCCGCAGGTGCACTTAGCATCTGGAGCCAGGGATCCCGAGAATTGAAAGCAGTGAATCTATTCCGAGGGCATGGCAGCAGCTCAGAATAGATTCGTTTCTTTAGGAAGGTTGGACAAATGGGTGGGTGGGTGTCTTTTTGCTTAAACTCCTGAGTTCCTTTTCTTTCTCTCAAGACCAGAAACCCTGGACCATTTCTGCTCGCCATTTTTGCCATTTCTGCTCAACATTTCTTTCCCAAATCACTTTTTCAAAGGCTGTGCACGTGTGCACACACACACCTGTAAACAGGGTTCAGCCATTATAGGGCAAATCCTTGGAAGGCAAGACCGCTATTTCAATTTCCCAGATAGAAAACGGGGTGTTTTTTTTTTAACGTGATTTTGCTCTGGGGTGAAAACGTGATTTAAATCTCTTCCAGAATCCTACATGCCATCTGTGTTTCTTGTTCCTCTTGCATAAAGCTAATAATAGAAACGGAGCTCCAGTCCTTCTGTTGTTAGCCCTGGACATATTTGTAAGGGAAAGGCATTTCACAAATTATGTTTTTTTTTTTCCTGCGGAAGATCTACTTGAAAAGGTTCTGGGGCATTTCATTGTCCTGAATCTGATCTACCCAGAATTCCAATTTACAAAAACAATCGAATCTGAAGTGACCAGATCATGGTTCCCTCATGTAATGAATCCAAGGATGGATTTGAATTTTAAATCCGGGGTCTCCAACCTTGGCAACTTTAGGACTTGTGGACTTCAACTCCCAGAATTCCTCTCCTGCAGCCATCTGCGCTGGCTGAGGAATTCTGGGTGTTGAAGTCCGCACATAATAAAGTTGCCAAGGTTGGAGACCCCTGATTTAAATCTGCACGCCTCCCACCTTCAAATCAAATTCTCCCTGCTCTGAAGAGGGAGCCAAAGCAAAGGAACCCAATCAGGCTTGAACCTGAAGATGAGATCCTAGCACTTTGAGCAACTCAAGTCTGGTTTTTCCAACCCTAGAAGTTAGCATCATGTAGAGTTGAAAGCCTTTGCTTATTTCATCCACTTGGCAACTGATTCAATCGCCAAAGCGCTTCTAGGTGGGAAATCGGACTGGGCATTGATCCTGGACTGAGGGAGAGCCAGTCTCCTACCAGCCATGGCAACTTATTGGATAGATAGATAGATAGATAGATAGATAGAATTCTTTATTGGCCAAGTTTGATTGGACACACAAGGAATTTGTCTTTGGTGCATATGCTCTCAATGTACATAAAAAGAAAAGATACATTCGTCAAGAATCCTATGACTTAATGATAGTCATAGGGTACAAATAAGCAACCGAATCATACTAGGAAATAATCAATATCAACATAAATCGTAAGGATACAAGCAACGAAGAGTCCTGGTAGCGCAGCAGACTAAAGCACTGTTATTAACATCAGCTGCCTGCAATTACTGCAAGTTCGAACTTCACCAGGCTCAAGGTTGACTCAGCCTTCCATCCTTTCTAAGGTAGGTAAATTGAGGACCCAGTTTGTGGGGGCAATAAGCTGACTTTGTATAAATATACAAAAGTATGAAGGCTATTGCTTAACGCATTGTAAGCCACCCTGAGTCTCCGGAGAAGGGCGGCATATAAATCAAATTTAAAAAAACGAAGTTACACTCATGCAGTCATAAGTCATAAGTGGGAGAAGATGGGTGATAGGAATGATGAGAAGAGTAATAGTAATAGTAATGCAGATGATCTCGAGGCCAGTCATTCTCTTTAACACGGATGTTGTGAAGAGGATAAAACGACTCTTCGGGTAACCCAAGATAGAAATCTAAACCAATTAATGTCTATGGAGATTTTCAGTCATTCAGGTCATGGTTTTTCAACGGTCAACTGGACTTTCTTGTTTTTCTTTGAAGATGTTTCTCCTCTCATCCAAGAAGCGTCTTTAGCTCTGACTGGATGGTGGGGAATGGAAGGATTTATATTCATTGCAGACAACTGGTCCTTTGGACAGTCAGAGCCCAAGAAGCTTCTTAGATGAGAAGCGAAACGTCTTCAAAGAAAAACACGAAAATCCAGTTGCCCCTTGAAAATAAAGTAATTAATAAAATAATTGGTTATTTTATTATATTTCCAGGGTTAGAGGTTCCCAAATGCTGCTCCTTTGATATCGGGACGGAGGGCTCAGAAAAAAAGGGGGTTGGCTCCCCTCTTGGCCTGCTTTCGAGTGAAGTTGCCAACCCCACTCCTCAAGCGAGGGTGCAGGCAGGGACCCTTCAAATGTCCCGCGCCTGCCCACGTGCATCTGAAGTTGCTCTCTCTGGGTGAGCCTTAAGCCTCAGCGTTGGTGGTGCTGCTCTGGGGGCGCGGGGAAGGGGGCGGGGAAGCCAGGGGAGGGGCGGCGGCTGGTGCTGCTGTTGCCGTTTTCAGACAGTGACCTGGAGGAGCTGAGTGGAAGCAGGCTTTTTCCATCATCGACCCTCCGCCAGGCTTATACCACCCACCGAGCCCAAGTGTCAGTTTACCGTCCTGAGCCGGGTTCCTTTCCCTAAGCTACGCCGGTAATTAGACAAAGTAAAGCTAAATTAACTGAACAGGCGTCGACAGCTTCTTCCAGATCACCGCCCCTTTGTCGCTAGGAAGAAAAGAAAAAAAAAAATAATAAAGGGGGGGGGCTCCGAAAGTGGCTTGATTGTATCTAAAAACCAGCTAAGAAAAATACGACGAAGCTCGATCATGTTTAGGACGCAACTGAAGGCAGGGAAGGGAGGTTATTGTTCGTGTGCGGATGCGCTCCCGCGTGCCTGCGTGGGTATCCACTTGCTGGAGTGGGGCCCCAAGCGGGAATCTCCCACCGCCGCCCTGATCCTGGGAATTATTCTATTTCGAAAGAATTCTGAGTGGGAGGCCACCAAGCCCGTTGAGGACCGAAGGGTGGCTAGAAATCTTGGGAAAATATCCCAAGACCCCTTCCCCTCCCCCTCCCCTCCCCAATTTTAAACTCGCTGGCTTGTCCCCAGGACTGGACTTCCCGGAGTGGCGTCTCCAGTCCTTCCCTTCCCTTCCCTTCCCTTCCCTTCCCTTCTTCTCTCTTCTTCCTCTTCTCCTTCTTCTTCTTCTTCTTCTTCTTCTTCTTCTTCTTCTTCTTCTTCTTCTTCTTCTTCTTCTCCTCCTCCTCCTCCTCCTCCTCCTCCTCCTCCTCCCGACCTGTTTGCTTGCTTTCAACGGGCCTCTTCCTTGGCAAAAAGACGCCTCCAGTCCAGTCCAGTCCCGGCGAAGGTTCACGAGCAAAGAGGTATTCGATCCCCAAACGGGCCAGCAAAACCCTTTTCCAGACAATTTATTTTATATACTTACACGAAGGGGTGGGAAGAAAAGTAACGCGGAGCGACGGCCAGTTAAAAGGCTGACTCTATGTGTGCGGGTGTGTATTTCCTCACACAGTCAGGACGTCTATCAGTTCCTTCGATCTTCGGGCCACCCAGACTTTGCAACATAAATAATCAACGGTGCCTTTCCGTGATTGATTCCACCTTCATTTCTAATCCACTCGCTGTGAACTGAATTCAAACATTGTAACTCTGAGGACAAAGGTTTTTGCCCCCTCCGCTGCCGGCTAGAGCAGAGGTCTCCAACCTTGGCAATTTTAAGCCTGGATGACTTCAACTCCCAGAATTCCCCAGCCAGCTTGAAGTTCTCCAGGCTTAAAGTTGCCAAGGTTGGAGACCCCTAGGCTAGAAGAGAACATTTGGCTTCAAAAACCGAGGCGACCGGTAGATGACAGCAAAGAGTTTTTCGTTTGCTCTCTGCTGCCATCAAGCGGTCGCACCGATTTTTTGTTACTCACATTTGGTAATCCTTACTTCGTATGAGTTTTGCAGCATTCCCCATGGTCACTGATCAAAATTCAGATTCTTGGCAACTGATTCATGCTTCTGTCGGTTGCAGTGTCCCAAGATCATGGGATCCCCTTTTGCGAACTTCTGACAAGCAAAGTCATTGGGGAAACCAGTTCACTTAACAACCCTGTTACTAATTTAACAATTTCAGTAATTCACTTAACAACTGTGGCAAGAAAGATTGTAAAATGGGGCAAAAGTCACTTAACAAATGTCTCACTTAACAGCAGAAATTTTGGGCTCAATTGTGGTTGTACTTTCTGCACCTGTTAATGGATCTCATCCTTTCTTTCTTTCCTTACATTGCAAATAAAATGAATTTATTCTCAGTTGAATCTGGGTATTGGGATGGGATTGATGTCCTCTGGGCTGGGGCACTTCTCTAACTCCCCCTCACTGCCTGCTTCCATACCTCCTGTCACTCATTCACCAAATGGGGAGACCCTCCTATCCATCTTTTTCCAGACTGGAGGTAAAGAAATCCCCAGCACAACATCAGCCCCGAGAATGGGGAATAGCACCGTATATAGTGACCTAGATTACTTTAGGTTCAGATAATAAATGCTTGATCCTAAATACGTCGAGATTAACAGTGGAAGGAAACCAGTTTAAAAGCAGGTATGGAAATTTAATTTCAGCTATTCAGGAGGATATATTTAGGAGAACTCTGAAGAGCGTTTTGAGCCCCCCCTCAAGGAACCAGATGGCTGCTTGGCCTCTGCAGTATATTAACTATTCATTACTTCTAATAGCTGAAAAATGAGGGGAAGTAAGATTTTTCTTATTCTTTCTTTATTACGGACCCCGGTATTAACAGGTCTGGGCAGTTTATTCCAACTGGATTTAACCTGGAGGTAAAGAGGTGCCTTCTGAACACTTCTCTATCAGCAGCACCTTAAACGTAGCCTAGTCGTTTGCCTGGCTCCTTAGAAGTAAATTCTACACTAAATTTGGTGGAATTTGTTGTCCGGAATGAGATTAAACCTATCCAGTTTATGCTGGGAGATGTTCTCTTCCCCAGATGTTAATTTTTTAAAATAAATAAATAAATCAAAGGGGGTTTAATCCCAGGTCAGGGCCTCTTGGATTGCAGCCGAACAGGTTTACGGCGGATGAGGAAGGAAATAAAGCCCTTGCCAATAAAGCGGAAAGGGCTTTGCTGCGGGAGAAATCCGGATGAAGATCGAGGTAGCGTATCCGATGGATTGCCAGCAAATTGCCAGGGTTAGAACGGACGGAAACCCGCAGCCTCCATCACATTTCCATCCGGCTGCTGCGGCCTTTTATTTCCAAATCTGCTGGTTTTACGAGGCAGTCGCAGGATCCGCTTCCTGGATTTCGCAGAAGCCAGGAGTCTCCGCACGGCATAGCCGGGGGCTTGGAGCGTCCATCGACGCCCCCGCCTCCCAGCAGCCAAAGGCCCTGCTCGTTTGAGCCGTCCCCACGAGCGACCGTGCCCAAAAAAACCCCCACCGTCCCCAAACTCTTCGTTTGCGGCTTCGTCACAGCCGCTGGCCAAAGTGAGACCGTCCTCGGCCTCATGGTTCTTTTTTTGACCATGAGTGACCGCAGGGGAGAGAGACTTCGGTGGGTGGGGGTGTGGGGGGGTGGGCCGCGTCTCTACGGAGGGTTCAAGTTCAGTTTGTGCGCTGGGGAGAATTTCAGGTCAGTTAAGGGGTTCGAGGCAGCCGGCACTCGGTCCGGTCCAAGGGGTTCGTTTGAGCGGAATGGGCAGAAATGAAACTTCGCTGTTGTTTTGCTCACTCGGATACTGCTTAAACTGGGCAACCCCTGAAGCTGATCTAGGAACTCCCTTGGTTAGTTAGAGTTGCCCCAGAATATGTCCCTTCTCTTCGTCTGGCGCTAAATAAAGGGAAACGAAAATACGGAAACTGTCCATCTTGAGTGTTATCCTAGAAGCCTTCCTTCCTTCCTTCCCTTCCCTTCCCTTCCCTTCCCTTCCCTTCCCTTCCCTTCCCTTCCCTTTCCTTCCTTCCTTCCTTCCTTCCTTCCTTCCTTCCTTCCTTCCTTCCTTCCTTCCTTCCCTTCCTTCCTTCCTTCCTTCCTTCCCTTCCCTTCCCTTCCTTCCTTTCCTTCCTTCCCTTCCCTTCCCTTCCTTCCTTCCCTTCCCTTCCTTTCCTTCTTTTCTCTCCCTCATTCATTCCTCACTTTCTTTCCAAATATATTTACTTCTCCCAACCACTCTCTTCCGATCCCACAGAAAGGAAGCGTTTTTTCAATTAAAATTGAGACTGAGCTTGTAAACAAACTCCGTAAAGGAGATTTCTTCTTCTAAAAGAAATATCTCTCTTCAATCCCTGTAGCATCTTTCTTTCTTTCTTTCTTTTAAATATATCTACTCCTTCCTGGTTGTCTCAGGACAAATAGAGTTGTTGATCAGAGTCCTCTTTCGTTTATCCTCAGGAGCTCCATTCGGGAATGAAGCAGGGAAGCGACACAGCGCATTCACATCAAACGAGACTGGGCCAGATTGGGACAAAAGGGCATTTCTGACAAAGAGAAATGCTTGCTTGATATAACCGCCGACCTGTGGCGTCTTGCATTCCCATATAAGCAGTTTCACCTATATCAGACAGGTACGGCCGATGAAGCCAACGCCTCCAGGCTGAAAGAGGTGGACGAATGAAGAAAGGGCAACTACTGATAGGAATGTGGCACTTTGAATTAATTTCAGATGAGGATAAATGTCAAGGGAGCGTCCCGAACTTCCGACCTGGAAGGGGGAAATAATAATAACGATGATGACGATGATGATGAAGATGATGGGCTCCGCTTTAGGGGGAACTGAGAGGTTCTGGTTGCTGGCATCTTTTTGTACTTACACATTTGATTAAAGGGCATGGGCTTTGCTGAGCGCCTTTTCAGGCAACGTGTTTGTCTGAAAAAGTGCTATCAAAAACCTGATTTTCGGCTTCCATAGACTAGACCGGATCTCTTTCTATAAGCTCGGAAGGAAAGTATTCCAGAAATACTGTTTCAATCTGTGATGACTCGATGCCTTTCCATGCGGTCATTGAGACGTCGGAAGGTAGAGAAAAGGAGACGCACTTCACCTCCGACGAAGTGAGGAAAGGTGGCCGGGTGGCTGGGAAGGGGAGGGAAAGCGTTTCACCCCATTTTGGGAGCCGCAGCTGCTGCCGGCGATTCTCCGGACTCCTTTGAGCTCCTGCTGCCCTGTTTATTTGGGTAGCCTTTCCGCTTTTCCAAAGGCTGACGGCCCACGGCTGCAGCTTTCTTATAACCCGGCCGGTCCCTTCCTATGCATGGCACATAGCCCGCCAGATCTCGGTGGGTCTCAGCAATTAGTGTGCCTCTGTGTGTTATCTGCTTCTAGTTCAATGCAGGCTGAGGAACTAACTCCTTCTTTGGTATCCTGATTTCGGTTGGCATGATTCCCCCCCTCCCCCATCGAAAGGTACCCAGAGATGGGGATGCGCATGGGAGGTGCAGTTCAAACTCGTCCTGCCACGTGACCCGAGATGATGCGAGGGTGAACCATGGTACCCAATGGTGAAATCCAATTTTTTTTTTACTACCGGTTCTGTGGGCATGGCTTGGTGAGCATGGTGTGGCTTGGTGGGCGTGGCAGGGGAAGGATACTGCAAAATCTCCATTCCCTCCCCACTCCAGGGGAAGAATACTGCAAAATCTCCATTTCCACCCCACTCTGGGGCCAGCCAGAGGTGGTATTTGCCGAACTACTCAAAATTTCCGCTACCGGTTCACCAGAACCTGTCAGAACCTGCTGGATTTCACCCTTGATGCTACCTCAACTGGGGGATAAAGCTCGCACCTGGGTCTCTCCCTTACTGGTTGAGGGGAGTCCATGATTAGGTCCTTCAACCCACGGTTTCGTTTACGTAACTGAGCCACAGACTTCACCCGATTTGCCCAAGGTATCAGATCATAAACTAACCAGACAAATAGCTCCAATACGTTAACCATGTTGGGTTCTCAAGACGGTTGTGTGAACACAGTCTCTTACCTACGTGCATTAAGCCTGCAAGGAGTCACCCGGGGATTCCTGGAAGTTCTTCTCCAATAAGAGAGTGTGAGTTCCGTAGAGGTGGGGTGGAGGAATGCATTTTCCCGCAAAGGGCCAGTCTCCAGGCCCCCTTCTGGATGTCCATCTTCCTCTACTACTAGGTAAGATCTCAAGTGTTTGGTTTTCCCCCTTTTTTGGCACCCCCATCACCGAACATGTCCTCCACTGTGCGAGGCCAGGGGGAGTCCAAGCCCTTGAGAAGAGGTAAGAACTGGCTTCGCTTTAGTGCAGGGATCTCCAACCTTGGCAAAAAAGAATTCTGGGAGTTGAAGCCCACAAGTCTTAAAGTTGCCAAGGTTGGAGACCCCTGCTTTAGTGTGTCTTTGCCTCCCTGCCCCGAAAGTAAAGGTCCTGTCCATAGAAAGAAGAAAGGAGAATCCTTCTCTTGTGGTCTCTGATCCTCAAAGGAAGAGGGGAAAAATCAAGACGGTTAAAGACAGATGGGAAATGTCAATTTGGTACAGTGGTTATATAATCCGCTAGAAACCGGGAGATCCTGAATTTTAATACCGCCTTAGGCAAAAAGAAAGCTGGGTAATTTTGGGACCAGTCACTTTCTCTCAGCCCTATAGGAACTAAGCAATGGCAAGCCACTTTTGAAATCTTGCCAAGGAAACTACAGGGACTTGTCTAGGTAATCGCTAGGAGTCAACAGTGACTTAAAAGAAAATAGTGTATATAATGTATATAATAGTGATGAGTGCGCCAGAAGCAGTAATGGTAGTAGTACTGGTAATACCGGTAGTAGTACCTGTGGATGACGGGGTGTAGTGGTTCCGCATTGAAGAAGTTTAGTGAAGGAAGGAAGGAAGGAAGGAAGAGAGGGAGGAAGGGAGGAAGAAAGGAAGGAAGGAAGAAAGGAAGGAAGGAAGAAAGAGAAAGAAAAGAAGGAAGGAAGGAAGGAAGAAAGAAAGAGAAAGAAAGAAAGAAAGAAAGAAAGAAAGAAAGAAAGAAAGAAAGAAAGAAAGAAAGAAAGAAAGAAAGAAAAGACAGACTTTGACTTGATTAAAAAGAGCTGGATCTGCTGGGCAGTTTATTTTAAATCTTATTTTTAACAAGCCAATAAACTCAGTCAGGGAGAGAGTCTTGCTTACAAACATCTGAACTTGGACTGTTCTGAGCCTCTTCATCTGTATGGTCAGAACTTTGATTATTTGAACCCACATGACTGATCCAGTGGGGCTTCTGGAATTCAGCAGCACTTAGGAACGATTTCTTTGTCGAGACAATCCTTGTATTAACCCGACAGGACGGTGTACATGTCATTCAGAAGTTGCATCTCAAATCTCAGGATCCCATCGAACGGAACCGATTCAAACTGTCAGATCGAAATCGATTCCCCCCCCGGATCTTTTGGGATTCCGTGGAACCGAGTGCTTTATTGGACGTTGCTACTGAAACGCCTGATGCTTCCATAGCTTGTGTACCGGATCTTTTTGTGAGATCAACAATTGCGAGGAAATCCTGCCGATCGGAAGGAAGGACGGAAGGACAGACAGAGATAAAATGACAATAGCAATCATGGTTTTCTAGGGGCCAAGCAAAACGATGAACAAAATCTTCCAATAGTCGGGATGATTCTCAGATAGCCAGACAGACATTCAGAAACAAAACAAAACACAACCAAGGGGTGGGGTGGGGTGGGGGTGGGGGGTGTTGGATTCCATGGGAGAGTTCCAAAATGGGCAGCCTGGAACTATTTCAGGCAGACAGAAAAGATCGCACAGATTTAAGGAACCAGCGGAGAGAACGAGGCAGGCACGTGCAACACAGAATTGAGACAAATACTCCAGGAGAAGGTGGCAGAGAGACAGGCATCTTAAAAACCACCTGGCAACAGTTAAGGATTTCTCTTTATAACCTTTTTTTTTTTTAAACAATCGGAACGTCAAGAAACAGTCACTCTTGGGGGAGTCAATATGAAATGAATGTGCCAGAGTATAACTTATAATTGTTTTCGAGGTCCATCCTGAAAGCGGCGAGCAAAGGAAGGAAAAGAAGACGCTCGCCATCCGGGAAATCTCCTTCCTCTGTCGAGTGCCGATCCTATTTCATTTCCCAGAGCCTCTTTACACGCCTCGGCCCAACAGAAACCAACCCCCTCCTCCCCCTCCAAGACTTGGCACCCTCCAGAGATGTTGAACTACAGCTCCCATCTTTCCCAGCCAGCCATTATGGAGGGTATAATAGTCCTTAACCAAATCAAGAGAGCTGGACCGTCGTTTTCTCAAAACGAAAATGTCTTTTTCTTTCTTTTCTTTTCTTTTCTTTTCTTTTCTTTTCTTTCTTTCTTTCTTTCTTTCTTTCTTTCTTTCTTTCTTTCTTTCTTTCTTTCTTTCTTCCTTCCTTCCTTCCTTCCTTCCTTCCTTCCTTCCTTCCTCTTTCTTTCTTTCTTTCTTTCTTTCTTTCTTTCTTTTCTTTTCTTTCTTTTTTCTTCCTTCCTTCCTGCCTGCCTGCCTGCCTGCCTTTCTTTCTTTCCTTTTTTTATAGCGGTACTTTCCTTTTTTATAGTGGGACGGTCCTTTTCTCGGGCCGCTGCCTCTCTCAGCCCACCCTCCGGCGACCTTGCAAAAGCTCGCCGTCGTTCCCATCCTTTCCCTGGCGCCCTGTTTTCACCCGGGAAACTCCCCCCTACCCCCCAACGGCAGTTTTTTGGGCTTCAAGGAAGGAAAGGCCGCCCTTGCTGGCGAAAGAGGCCACTTCCGAACGCAGGAAAGAAGGCAGCTCTGGAATTAAAACCACGGCCAAGCAAGGCAGGCAAAGGGCAGAGAGCTGAAAGAGGTGGCCACATTGGCATCTGGGTCTACTTTATTCCCACGCACACCCGCTGGTTACTTTATTTGGCCCTGGGGCTCCGAGATCCACGTGCAAAGTGCTCTGTGTAAGACCGTTGTTCTGTCTGGAGTATTAGAATAGGGAGAACTCAATTCGCATCTATAAGTTGTATGTATCTCTATGTAACTTCTCCTTGGGGAATGTGTTAACGTATACAGAGCGTTAAAGAAAGGGAAAGCAACACCATCTTTTCTTCCAGAGAAGGATTGTAACTCTTCTTGGTTTGCACATCCTTAAAGAGATGGTTGGAGAGAGTATGAAAGATCATAATTTACCACTGGGGTTGAATCAGTGGTGAAATCCAAAATTTTAAATTACTGGTTCTGTGGGTGTGGCTTGGTGGGCATGATGTGGCTTGGTGAGCGTGGCTTGGTGAGCATGGCAGGAGAAGGATACTGCAAAATCTCCATTCCCACCCCACTCCAGGGGAAGGATACTGCAAAATCCCCATTCCCTCCCCAGTCCTGGGAGAAAGAAACTGCAAAATCCCCATTCCCACCCCAGTCCTGGAGGAAGGATATTGCAAAATCTCCATTCCCACCCCACTCTGGGGCCAGCCAGAGGTGGTATTTGCTGGTTCTCTGAACTACTCAAAATTTCCGCTACCAGTTCTCCAAACTACTCAAAATGTCCGCTACTGGTTCTCCAGAACCTGTCAGAACCTGCTGGATTTCACCCCTGGGTTGAATCTGTAACGTACAGCCCAATCTACTCATAAGCAACTGAGTCAATAGGAACTTATTGAAAGGTAAAGATGAATTTCATCAGAATGAAAGGCCTGGGGGGGGGGCACATCCACAAGTCACAGGATTCTTGCTATTTCAGGGCCTCCAGTCTCCTTTCAGAAATTTCACAGCCAGGCTCGGGAAGTTCCCCAGAAACCCATTTCATAATGTTTGGATTTTTCACTGTATGCCAAGATGGCTTGGTTATTTTTGGCTAAGGGTGGAGTGAACTCAGCCTTTGGACTCTAAAGGATGATTTATAGTTGGCCAGTTATGTGGCTGCAACTAATTGTGTCTCATTCAGTAAAATGA